AACAAACTTACTTCATTCATTTAAATGATCAAAGTACAAATGGAATGGAAGAAATTAAGCATCCTCCAAAATTACTACAACATAACTGAAATGCAATAAAATATAGAGCAGATAGATCATCGCAAACGATAGACAGCGGATCCAAGTCATGCCTCAGAAGCGTCAAGAAGGTTTTTGCGGCAAAACCGGAGAGTCTCAGGTTGGTCACTTTCCAATGTGACTTTGAAAATCACAGCATAAAGCTCAGGAATTTGACCATTCTCCAAAAGAGGGAAGAAAATACGACCATTTTCAAAGAGATAGAAGAAAGTGAAATTAAACTTTTCAACCGGGAGTAAATTACAGGATTTGAGAATCCAGTAATATACAGGATTTGAAAATCCAGAAAATTTTGATCATCTGGAAATAGAGAGGACATCGGCTCAAAAGATATCCATGATGATGAAACCGACGTTGTATTAAACATGTACCGGTCACAACATGTCTTGGACCAATAATGCTTGCAAGTTGGGCCTGTTGGGCTAAAAAACCAAATTCTCAAAATGGGTCCAGACCAATTGGGCCAAACCCAAACAGTGCACTTCTCTTGGTGGGGAGGAAATGCGCAGAGCTGCGTCTTCCGTGACGGATGGTGGTCACAGCTGTACACGAGGCCTCCGGCCGGTTTTGGTCGCGGAAAGTGCCAGAACCTAGCGAAACTTATGGTGAAGTACTCATTCCCAAAGAGGAGATATCATCGTTCTCCTTTTAGCAAGGTCGAATTGACAACACCGGAAGGTGAGAAGGACGGAGAGGACCAGGGATAGGAGGCAAGACGCGGGGAGGATCCGGCGGATCTGCAGGCTTCGGCGGTTGGTGGTGCTCTTGCGGCTCCGAAGAAGTCACCATGGAAAGGATTTGCTCAGGTGACAACAAACTCTTTGGAGAGCTTCTCGTCAATGACACATCCGGTCGCCGAGCGGTTAGAGCAAAGCTTGCAAAGATCTCGTCGTAATCCATGGAGGAGCGACGAAAGATGAAGAAAAACACCAAGGCAGAATGCCCGGAAAGTCTCGCCGGCCACGGTAGCCGTCAGAAAGTGAATAGATTTCTTCGGATCTATCGAATTAGATCCGAGAAATGAGGAAGCCGAACTGCTTACAGTGAAAAACAGAATGAACTCCGGTGAACTCTCTTCATGGTGAAGCAAGGTCGTCTATTTACGCTTTTTTTTCTCTCTATTATTGTTCCATGAATCATTAAAGTATTGGTCTTTCCGTTTCAAAATGTAAATGGTTTTACCTAAAAATACGGATAGTAAAAAATATTATTTAATATATTTTATAAAAATAATTTGATCAATCACACAAAATAATAATGGTCACACAATATTCAATAAAATTAAAAAGTACATATAATTGTCAAGTTACATTTTAAAACAAAGAAAACTTCCAAAACAACTTACATTTTGGAAAGAAGAAATTATTATTGAATCACTATGATACCATACATTGTCGATACTATGAATTAAAATATTATTTTTGGATCATTTTTTTCTGATATATTTACTTACCAATATTTTGCAAAATGAAAACCAAAAAGGGATTAAAACTTGGAAAATGACAGAATTTTTTTGAACATTAAACATGTTGAAATATATCCTATTTTATGTTTATTTTGTTAATGTCGGATATGCATTCTGTTTTTTTTTTTTCCGCAGATGCAGAGAGAATTATACTTGTTGATTGATGAACAAAATAAACAACTCCACGAGATGATCAAAAATCAAAAAGGCAAAGAGCCCGTAATACCTATTCAATAAGCTTTGCACTTATATGTAGCTACTAGCTATCATGAGTTTAAAGAAAAACATAATGTAAAATATTGTATAATGGTTTATGTTTTGTTGATTTAAGAATAATACAATAGATTTAGTAGATTTATATACAACGAGAACCTAATTAAAAAGGATAAACTTAAATCACCATAGCCGATTTGTAATTTAATTTGGACAAATTGTGTAAAGCCAAAATATTTGTTTTATTTTTGTGATCTATCTGACCGGCTCTAAATCAAACCAAAACCAAATTCGGTTGCTAATCAGGTTCATAGTCCAACCCGGTCCGACCGTCAGGTTTCTCAGGGTTTAAAAAACACTGTCGGACATCATAACCATGCCTCCTAACCCGTCTTCTCCGGCACAGCTTATGATGATCCTTGGAGATGGCAAAAGTACTGCAGCGACTTGAGCACACAGTGAACGAGATTCGAATCAGACCAATCTCGTAAAAAGATTCAAAAAGGTAAAAGCTTTTGATTTGCTCAGCTACACTATCAACATCGCCGTACTAAGCAATGAAACTTATGCGAAACCCTAGTAGCTTCGCTTCTCTTCTCAAACGAGTATCAAATCTTTCTCTAGAAACCCATTTAACCAAACCCTCGATTTCCGCAACTCAAAACCCTAGATTTTTCTCCACACAGAGCACCGACCAAGTTCCAATCGAGAAATCGAATGTGAGGAGGACTCGAAGTGGGATTCGAATCACTCCGACTATTCGTAAAATGGCCGAGGAAGCAATGTTAGATTACTTTTATTCCACTAGGGGTTTACAGTATATGGTTGCAGAAGGTATGAGCAAGAACAGTCCTGTTTTTATTGATAATCTACTGAAGAAAGTTGATTGTGTTTCTGCTTCTGATATTAACCAATCGATTACTAGACATCTACGGTTTCACCCCGTTAATGAGTTCGAGCCTTTTCTCGAGAGTTCGGGTCTGAAACCTACTGAGTTTAGTCATTTGGTTCCTTGTGATAAGCTGTTCTTGGATGATGATGTTTTGTTGCTAGAGAATCATCATGTTTTGTGTTATTGTGGGATTGATCCCAAGAAGATTGGGAAGGTGTACAAGGAAGCTAGGGAAGTTTTCGGGTATGAAACCGGGGTTTTAGCTTCGAAGATTAAGGCGTATGAGGATTTGGGGTTTAGTAGGTTGTTTTTGTCGAAGCTAATCGTTTGTAGCCCGAGTATCTTGATTGGGGATACGAATGTTGGACTGGCTAAGGTCTTAGAGATGCTGAAATCGGTCGGGTTTGAGTTTGATTGGGTGATGAAGAATCTGTCAGATGAGGCATGTTATGATTGGAGCTCTGTGCGTCGGGTTCTAAGCTTTCTTAGAGAAATCTGTATCGATGAGGATGAGCTATGTGGTTTAATCAAGAAGCATCCAAGACTGGTTTTTGAGGATTCAGGGAAATGGACATTAATTCTAGCTGGATTTGAAACAAAACTTGGGTCATCTAGAAGTGAACTTTGTTCGATGTTTCAGAAATTACCGCAGACTCAGTTAGAGAAATGTGTTTTGAATCTAAGGAAATGCTTCTTGTTCCTGAAAGATATTGAAATGGAAGATGATGAGATCCGTAAGGTTTTTCGTTCTCACTCATGGTGGCTTGGTTCATGTAGGTTGAAGAAAACCAGTAGCTTGCTCGTAAATTTGAGGGCTTGGAAAAGCCGGGTTTGTGAGGTCATCAGAGAAAATCCAGAGGAGATGAAAAAATGGACAATGGGGTTGAAAATCCAGCCACTACCAGCTATAGATGTAGACACAGACTCGGAAATGATGAAGACTCAGTTTTTGTTAGACCTCGGATACGAGGAATACTCAAAGGAAATGGAGAGAGCACTCAAGAGTTTCCGTGGCAGAAGATCCGAACTCCGAGAGAGATTTGATGTCCTCGTGAGTTTGGGTTTAAATGAGAAAGATGTCAAAGATATGGTTAAAGCATCTCCTAATATCCTCAGCCAGGCAAGTGATGTACTAGAATCAAAGGTTAACTACCTTGTAAACGAATTAGGTTATCCGCTTTCGGCATTGGTTGCTTTTCCTTCGTGTTTAAAGTTCACTATTCAGCGGATGAAGCTTAGATTCGAGATGTTCTCTTGGCTTCAAGCTCGAGGAAAAGTAGCTACCACGCTTGCACTTAGTACTCTACTCTCGTGCTCGGACAAATATTTCATCTCTTTCTATGTAAATCGCGATCCCGATGGGCTTAAACAGCTAGAGGATTTGAAGAAGAAAACTGCTTTGAGTTGAACAACTAATTTGCCTACTCTGTTTTGTAACATCTTGTATTTGGTTTTCTTAGGTACTCTCTTATAAAGATCAAATTTTTCTTCCTGATTCCTCATGTAGATTGTTACATGATTGACCTTAAAACGACTTTAGTACTCTTAACCATAAAAAAACTCAATGTCAAGAAGAATAAAAAACCATAAAGACTCCATTTTTTTTTTACTTTTCTTATTAGAGTGAGAGTAAGAACATTACGACTTTGACAAGAGCAGGTCAAGCAGATAAATGTCTCTTATGCGAAACCCTAGATTCACTTGTCTTCTTGATTGGGTATCTCAAGTTTCTGTAAAAAACCAAGCTTTAAGAAACCCTAGAGCTTTCGCTACCCAAAAGACGGTCGATTCTAAAGTTTCCGGCGAGAAATTGAGTGTTAAAACCCGAGGTGAGAATCGGAAAATGGCTCAAGTTGCGATGTTTGATTACTTTTATCAGACAAGAGGTTTGCAGTTTCTTGTTGCAGAGAGTATGAGTAAGAATGCGCCTGTTTTTAACGATAATCTATTGAAGAAGCTAAATGGTGTTGAAGCTGATGATTTAGTTAGATCAATCACAAGGTTTCTATTGTTTCATCCTGTGAATGAATTCGAGCCATTTCTCGAGAGTTTAGGTCTGAATCCGACAGAGTTTAGTCATTTAATTCCTTGTGATAAGATGTTTCTGAATGAAGATTTGTTTTTGCTGGAGAATTACCATGTCTTTTGGAACTATGGAATTGACAGGGAGAAAATGGGGAAGATCTTTAAGGAAGCTAGGGAAGTTTTCGGGTTTGAAACCGGGGTTTTAGCTTCCAAGATTCAGGTTTATGAGGATTTGGAGTTTAGCAAATCGTTTTTGTCGAAAGTTATCGTTTGTAGCCCGAGTATATTGATTGGGAATGTGAATCTTGAAATGGTTGAGTTCATGGAGATGTTGAAATCTATGGGTTTTGGTTTAGATTGGGTTACAGAGAATTTGTTAGAGGAGGGATCTTATGATTGGAGCTCTATGTATAGGTGTTTAAGCTTTCTTAGAGATCTCTGTGTCGATGAGAACGGGTTATGCGAGTTGATCAGGAAGCGGCCGAGGTTGGTTTTCGAGAATTCAGGGGAATGGACACTGATTCTAGCTGGGTTTGAAACAAAACTAGGGTCATCCAGAAGTGAACTCTCTTCGTTGTTTCTGAAAGTCCCGCACGGTTTAGGGAAATGTGTTTCGAATCTAAGGCATTGCTTCTTGTTCCTGAAAGAGATTGAGATGGAGGGTAATGAGATAGGTAAGGTTTTCCGTTCTCACTCGTCGTGGCTTGGTGTATCTCGTTTGAAGCAGACCAGTACATTGCTTCTCAATTTGAGAAGTGGGAAAAACCGGCTTTGTCAAGTCATTCGAGAAAACCCGGAAGAGATGAAGAAATGGATTATTGGGTTAAGAGTCCAGCCGCTACCATGTATAGACGAAAAGTCGAAAACAATGAAGACTCAGTTTTTGTTGGACCTCGGATACGAGGAAAACTCACTGGAAATGGAGAGAGCAATCAAGAGTTTCCGCGGCAAAGGATCTGAACTCCGAGAGAGATTTAATGTCCTGGTCAGTTCGGGTTTGAACGAAAAAGATGTCAAAGATATGGTGAAAGCATCTCCTGATATCCTCACTCAGGGATGTGATGTTCTAGAATCAAAGGTTAACTACCTTGTAAACGAATTAGGTTATCCGGTTTCGAGTTTGGCGGCTTTCCCTTCGTGTCTTAAATACACTCTTCAGCGGATGAAGCTCAGATTTGAAATGTTCTCTTGGCTTCAATCCCGAGGAAAGGTAGACCCAAACCTTGCGCTTAGTACTATACTCGTGTACTCGGACAAGTCTTTTTCGACCAAATTTGTAAACCGTCACCCCGATGGGCCTAAACATTTCGAGGATTTGAAGAAACTACTTCTTTGTGAGTAGAACAAAAATGCATCAAGATATAGTATTTGACTACAACAATGCAAATAGCCATAAGCACTCGGTAAGCAATTCAAATTATGTATTGGAGTTGGAACAAAGGTTTTAGAAGCGGAAGCTCGAGTTTTGTCGTGGATTGTACAATCGGTGCGGGTTCTAATTGATGAACACACAGTAACTTCAGATCTGATAACTTAGTTGTGGAGAAGATTTGCTTTGTTAAGTTTTTTTCACAAGCTCAATAGCAAAATTTAAAGTACAAAATTATTAGTTTAAGCAAAGCATCAACACATTTCAGTGAAAGGCTTTAATAAAATTTTGTGTTAGAATCCAGAATGAGATTAAAACAAAAATCAATTAGAGAAAATCTGAGATTTAGCATAAGTAGGAAAAGTTGAGAAAATTAAGCTAAGATGAAAAAATAGATTTTTTTTTTTTTGGGTCGAAATAGATAAAGTGCATGATTGGTTGGGCTTTAAGCCTTGTCTACAGCTTTAATTTTTTTTAAGCATCATTATGTTACCAATCATGTTGTAGCTTTAATTCTTTAAATTTCAAACCTACATCCTTTGTTACCAATCATGTTTTTGCTTTAATTCTATAAGCTACANCCTCTTNAATTTTTTTTTAAATTTCTTTTGTTGTAACATGTAAAATCTTACAACCCCATTTTTATGGCTGTACACTNTTATTTTTTTNAAAAAATTATTTTTAAAAAATGGAAAAATCAAGATAAGCACATCGATTTACCTAATTGAAAAAAGTCTAACCTATATATATATATGTGTGTGTATATTGCCGTCACAAATGTTTGAAGAAACACGTTTTCTTATTTTCTCTTCACCACAAATCAAATCAGTGAGTCTCTTTTCTAGATTATACAATTTTTTTTTTGTTTACTTTTGTTTTCATCTTCTCTTCATGAATGTTTTCTGTGTTTTTTATTTACTCTACACATAGAGATCTATACATAGCTTTAATGATGTTACTTATTATGAATGATTCAGAAGTTCATTATTTATTATGTTCAAATCAACATAAAATTTCTAAATTATAACAATTTTTATTTGCATAAATTAATTTAATTAAAACTACAGCACATATCTTATAGTTACCAATCGTGTTTTTATTTTAATATTACAGCTACAGCTTAATATGTACAGCAAAAAAATCTGCAGCCTAAAATGTACAGCTACAACCAAAACATTTACAGCAAAAATTCTACAACAATTAATCTACAGCTACAGCCGAACCAATCACCCACAAAATATGGTTTTTTGGGTCCATAAATCGTATAAATAAAAATATTGGAAAATTGTCTCACGTGAATTTGAAAAAAATAAGGCCACGTGGCAGTACGACTTAGTTGACTCCAACGTCCGTAACTGCTTTTGCTGACGTGGAATATTCGTGTGTATTCGTACGCTTTCGCATTTCTTTCTATTCAGTTTTTGTCATCTCTCTCGTTCTGCTTCTTCACTATCTTCTCTCCTCCGATTTTTTTCTTTCTGTTTCGTTTCCTGGAAAACGAGAGAAAGTTCCGAGAAAAATTCCATAACTCTTCTTCGTTTGTCCTCTTCGTTTCTCCTTTTCTTAGTTTGACGAAGCTTAAAAGTATCTACACATA